AAGGGGAGGGGGCAGGGGCTTGGCCTCTCTTCCCAGCACCCAAAACTCCTCTCAACACCACTTGGTTGCTGCCAGGTGGCAGCTGCCTCTGGGTAGTGTGCAGCTGCTGTGGCTGCCCACCTCTGTGGCCGTGCTCTGGCTGCTGGCCTGTGTTCTGGGACATCTGGATCCACTGTGGTGCTGGGTGAAAGCTTGCCAGCTACGAGAATCCAGGGACATCCGGAGATCCAGCACCTGACCGTGCCCCTAGATCCCATCATGCTGGGCTTCTGAGTTCCTGCCAGGCTAGAAGGGGTCGGGGTAGCACTCCGGGGCTCGCAGGCTGACCTGTCTCTTGTGAGCTGGGGATATGTGCACCTCTTCAATCTCCAGGGCTGGTTTTGTGGGGGTTGATGTGGCTTCCCAGGCCTGCAGCAAGCTCAAGGGCTCTGGGATAGAGTTTGAGCCTAAAACTGATCTGTCTCACTCCTGAGTCAGAGGAGGAGTAATGCTCTGCCTGGCGTGGTGCAGGCAGGCCCTGGTGCTGATGCAGCTGCTTTTATCTTCCTGCAGATCGGGGCAATGACAACTGGCTCATCAAGTACGACTGTCCCCTGGACAGCGCGGGCGTGCGGGTGAGCAGCTCTTCCTGGGCAGGGGCTTCATGGGGGGCTCTGCTCCTGCAAGCTGCCTGCCTGGCAGGTGGGACAGGGATTTCCCAGCTGGCTTGGGTTCTGAGCCTGTGGAGGCCTCGTCTTGTCTCTTGGGCCTTTTGTTGCCCTCTGCGTTGGTGGTTTGTGGCCTAGTGGGACTTTGTGAGGATGCAGCTGGGCTCTTGGGGGGAAACTGGTGTTGCTGGACCTGTGTATCCTTGGGGTGAGGCCTGTGGGGGGAGCAGCTTTGTCCCCCTCTCACCCAAAGCAGACAGTGTTTCCCTGGGGGCAAGAGGCCATGCTGTGGGCAAGAGGCTGCTTGTGCCTCTGTGGTAGCCAGTGCAAAGATCCTGGTAGTGAGGCTGCAGGGAATGGGAGAGGAACTGTTCCTGCAGGGGGGAGGATTCCCTGTGACATGCTCCACTTCCTTCCAGGACAGCGACTGGGTGGTGGTGAAGGAGCCCATCATCAAGCTGGCTGCTATAGACAATGGTTTGGCCTTTCCCTTGAAACACCCCGACTCCTGGAGAGCATGTGAGTCCCTCAGGCTGTGCCAGGGCACCCTGGTGAGCTGTGCAACTCTCTGCATGGGCATCTTCCTCAAGGGCTGGAGAGGGCTAGAGCTGTCCCTCTGCAAACCTTCTGGGTTCATGGGCCTCAACAGAGGCTGTGGGAAGCAAGTGCTGGACCCTGTGCCCCAGACACGGGTGATCTGGCACCCAGAGGTGTGTGGCACCATCCTTTGTCTTCCTCAGCTTTAACGTGTCCTGCTTCTTCCCACAGATCCATTCTACTGGGCATGGCTGCCCCAGGCCAAAATCCCCTTTTCACAGGAGATCAAGGACCTGATTCTTCCCAAGATCTCAGACCCCAACTTTGTCAAGGACCTGGAGGAAGATCTGTATGAGCTCTTCAAGGTGAGCTGGGGGAGTGGGTGAGGATGGTTGAGGATGAAGAAAAGTGGGAGTGATGTTGAAGACCTCCCTGTCAAGGCTGCAGGGGACAAAAAGGTGGCCAAGCTCTTGACTTTTTCTGGGCTCAGGCACAGCAGGATTATTCCTCTGTGAGGAGATGAAGCTTCAGTGTGGGGAGAGGCAGGAAACCCGTGGGCCAGGAGGAGAGAGGCTTGCTTGGGGGATAGGCATCTCACACATGGCATGTGGAAGTGAGTGGATCCCACCGTGTTCTTTGCTCTCTCTTGCAGAAAGACCCTGGCTTTGACAGGGGACAGTTTCACAAGCAGATTGCTGTCATGAGAGGCCAGGTAAGCTGTGTGTA